TTTCCCTTGCTAGGCTCCATGCCCTTTCCCAAACTCTGGGCTCCTTGAACCTCATTCGCTATGGGCACCTTGCCCCACTCTGGACCCCCTTGTTCCTGCCGACCTCCTTGCTGGGTTAGGCACTAAGATGTGGGGGCTAGAGTTATGAGGCACCTCTCCTCACCTTTCACTGGGCTGGTAAATGGCCTGGATACACTAGCTCTTTGCCTATTAATCAATTCATACTGCAGCCATACTTTACCTCTGTACTAGAAATGGGATTAGCTTGGAGATCCTCGTTTTATTGTGAGATGCCAAATACAAGAAGCATAACATTTTAACTAAGCATAAGTACCATTTTATGACCAAAATGCTATGTAGACAACCACATCTGGACACAAATGACTGGACAAGGAACATAATGCTATCCCCAAGTGTCTGTGAAGGAAAAGAAACAACTGCCAAGCTAGGTATCCTAATGAATGAAGCATTGAAATATAGATACATTCTTGATACAAAAAAGAAGCCTCTGAGCCTGTACACACAAACCTTTACCAAAGATCTCCAACATATGATTTGTTTTCCTTTAACATTCAAGCATAGCAATAAAGTGAGAGATTTGTTTTCTTATAGGTTTTCTTCCTTCCTGTTGTCCCAAATTCTTCTTGGAAGTTCTGTTCCACCCTCTGTAACTAGGGAAATCTCTTAAAGGCTAAGTAGAGTCAAGTCTTCTCTTTGTTGCCTTTTTTGCATATGAGAGATGACAGCTCCTTAGCATCACTGCTAAATCACATTGTGAAAATGTCAAGGAACTTCAGAAACATGTGAAGAATGTCCTCAGGACAGGAAAAATTAGTCAAAGTTGTAGTAAATAAAGGTCTTTATCCTTTTCTCTTTCAAAAGCACAGACTTATGGATCTGTGAATTTCCCCAGGACTGACTTTTTCTGACCTGTTCAACTTTAAAGGGAAACATTACTGGCTTTTCACTAAAAGGATGGAACCTGCAGCCAACTTCATCAACTGCAACTCCTACTAGAATAGTAGCAGCCAACAACTCCAGGGTAGAGCTGTTCCCAGAGAACAGCAGCAGAGCTCTGTGCAGAGTGAATCCAGAAAGGATTCCTTCTTAATCAGCTCTGAAAATTAACGTAAAAAACATAATATGCCCTTCCTAGCATTCAGCCATGTTCCAGAACTGACTCTCATGCCCTTTGGGCAGATTCCACCATTATCCCAAGACTTTCCTTTGGAAACAGAGGGCCTGACCAATTCTGCTAGTTTTTTTTCCAGTGCAACTCTACTGGCTGAATGTCAGTACTCCCAATTTGCACCTACATCAGAGACAGAAGACACAGGTAAAAAGTTTCAAATGCCAGAACACAACAGGACTAGATCAGCTTTTTACATATAATAATGTCTAAATGTCACAATGGTCTCTGCAGACTCTTAAATAACTGCTCTGAAGCCCTCACGGTAAGAGTACACAGTAAGAATACACATTACCATGTCCTTCCCCAACAGATTTCTGTAAAATTATGGGTTAAATAAATTTAAAGTTCAACCCACAAATAGTGAGATTTTCAGTCAAAGTAACCAACTCACTATTATAAAGTCTCATAACACAGGAGAACTAATTTCAGTGTCAAGCTATAGATACTACTCTAGCCAAAGAAATAAATGGTCTCAGATACAGATATCTGGAAGTGAAGGAAGGCTGGTAAACTCATTTCTTTGTCGATAAATGAATGAGCCTTAAGTGAATTTACCAGGTCCTGGAGAGCACTGTATAATTTTTAATTGATGCTCTTATTTACCACACTTTGATCCGACAAAGTGCTGGAAGAAACAATGAACCAGTACCATCTGAAAAGGGCTGAAGGTGGTGGCAGGAAAATCAAAGCTTGACTTCTACCCAAGGATCTCTGCAGTGGGTAGAGATTCCCACCCCTACCCCCCTACTCCAGGCCCAAAATGCCATTTAGTACTCTCAGTAAAATTAAGTTGCTGGCAAGAGGCACTGATGAGGTCTCACCTGGGGTACTATGATGTGATGAGTCTTGAGTACTGCGCTTCAAGAAAAATATGGACAAATTAGAAGAAGCCCAGCAGAGAACAAGAAACATGAACAGAGGTCTAGAAAATATGACATTAAAGGAAAAGTTAGAAGAACTTATTTAGTCTGGAGAAGAGAAGACTGAGGAGGTATTTAATAACAGTCTTCCAATTCAAAAAAAGCATGGTGCATGGTGTTTGACTATACTCTGTATGAATATATGGCCAGACAAAAAGTAATGGGCTTGAATTGCAAGAAGGAAAATTTAGGTTGGATATGAGAGTGGTTAAGCACTGTAGTAGGTTATCTAGAGAAACCGTGGAGTCTCCACCATTGGCTATTTTTGAAAGAATGTTAGAAAAGCACTTTGCTGGGCTAGTTTAGATAGGGATGATTTGACCTTGAGCAGAGGCTTGGACTAGCTCCTTTCTTGCTAAATCAAACCCTTTTGTAGTAATTCACATATAAAAGTGTAATAAGCAACTAGGTGGTCACACTGTCCTTAACAGAATTATGGGCATAAAGTCAACCAGATGCTTAAGTGGTTTTCTGAATCAGGTTCTTGATCAGGCACCTCAAGAGTTCTTCAGTCTTCTCCAGTCTTGAATAAATATAAAAAATAGCATCATCTGCAAGTTTTGCTGCTGCTCTTGTTCATTCCTTTGCCAGTTTATGATAAAAAATACCTTTCTTCACATTCAGCATACCCCAGAATAAATTAGACACCTTGGCTAGGGATAGAAGTTACAAATAAACCAGCTTAATCAGAAACTGGTTTAAACTTGTAACAGAACATAAGTTCAGTGCACATAAACCAGTTTCAAAATGACTGAAACTGGTTTAAGAAACCTGGTTGAATGTAGTATCATTCATAAATGATTTGAGTCCAACTGGTTTATGGAACTTATGTCTCCAACCCCTTCCTGTTTTAAGTTAAATCAAAGTCCTCCAGCATCCCAGCATGCTCTGCAGCCCTGGGCTGTTCTCTCTGCTCCAACGGAGCAGGGCAGGCCCCACCCCCAGCTGCCAGCAGGGACTTTTCCATCCCCAACAGCCAGGAGTAGGGTGGATTTCCCAGCCTCACCCCCTTTTTGGATAGGGAATCAACCCAGCTTCCAGCTGGAATGGGAGTGTAAAGCCTCTACTGCCAGCTTCCCCCTTGCACTGGGCACAGGGCAAGCATTCCCACACCACCCCCTCCCCCCACCCCCCTGCCTCAGCTAGCCCACAGGCCTAGGAGGGGGAGAGTGGTGCAGGGCCAAAGGGAAGTAGGCACTGGCTCCTGCCATGAAGGAGGGGATGAGGCACTGGGCTGCAGCTCCGTCCAGGAGGTGCTGGGCAGCTGATGTTCTGACCCCCTGAGCCATGCTCACTTACTCCTGGGATGGCATCAGGGGTCTAGCATGGGCGAGGGATGGGGAGAAGGCTGCTGTTTTTCCTCCCCACTCCCTTTTCACCTGGCTTGCCAGCTGGGGAACAAATGTCTCTGGGTGATTGGCCCAGCTCCTGGCTGCAGGGAAGCCCACAGTCCCCACCCAAGCTGGGAGACAGAGTGATCCCCTGGCCACACCCTCTCCCTGGCCAGTGGGCCAGCTGAGGAGGAAGGGGGGTGGGGAAAGGCCCCTATTATGGGCTTCCCAACCCCTGTGCTGGGCACAGCCTGGCTAGAGGTCCAAAGCCTGGCGGGGAGGGACATTCCCCCACCCCCCACTCCCTCCTCACCCAGCCTGCCAACTGAGCAGGGGGCATGGCTAGATGATCATCAGGCTGGCTCCCTGCTCAGGCAGGAGAATAAAGCCACCACCATGGGCTTCCCCACATCTAGGAGCTGGGATAATCCCTTAGCCATGCTCCTTGCCTGTTGGCAGGGTGGCTGAGGAAGGAATGGGAGGGAAAATGGCCCCTCTACCTGGCTTTGGACTCCCAGCCAAGCTGTGCCCAGCACAAGGGGGGAGAAGCCCACTGTGGGGCTGTCTATCCATTGAGGGGTCCCCCACCCCTGCATCTGGCACAGCCCACCTGGGGGACCAGAGCTGGGTGGGGGGCCAATCCCCCCCACTCCCTCCTCAGTCAGCCACTGGCCAAGGAGGGGGCATGGCCAGGTGATCACCCCAGCTCCTCACTCCGGGTCTCATGGTGGGGGAATAACCACCCTGCT